GTTGTTTAGGGGGTCAAGACTTTTTGGCTGGTAAACAGTAGTTAATAATTTTCTCACCACGTGGCGTTAGTATACATGTACACTTCTAAACTATTGTTCACCAGCCAAAAGACTTTGAGCTCCTGAATAACTTTGTTGTAGACAGTAACTTTCTATCTGATTAGGATCTCGAGATATAGCATATGCGAGAAGTGTACATCTATGCCACGTGGTGAGAAAATTCTTAACTACTGTTTACCAGCCAAAAATATTTTGACTTCCTAAACAACTTTGTCGAAGACAGTAACTTTCTATCTGGTCAGGATCTCGAAACAAACCACATGCGAGAATTTCACGTGTATTCTAGCGCTACGTAGTGAGAAAAGTTTGAACTACTGTCCACTAGAGAAATCTATCTGATCAGAAGCTCGAGATATTTTACATGCGAGAATTTCGCGTGTATACTAGCGCCACGTAGTGTGAAAATTCTGAACTATTGTGCACCACGCAATAGGCATTGATCTCATGAACAACTTTTTCGAAGACAGTAATTTTCTACCTGTTGAGAATCTCGAGCTTAACATACGCGAGAATTGTACACGTTTACTAGCGCCATGTGGTGAAACATTTCTAGGCTACTGTCCACCAGCCAAAAAGTCTTGACCCCCTGAACAAGTTTGCCGAAAACAGTAACTTTCTATCTGCTCAGGATCTCGAGCTATTGTACATGCGAGAATTGCATGTGTTTACTAGCACCGAGTAGGGAGAAAATTCTGAACAACTGTCCACCAACGAAAAGATCTGGACTTCCTGAAAAACTTTGCTAAAGTCATTTATTCTTTATCTCGTCAGGATCTAGTGATGTATCACATGTGAGAACTTAACATGCATACGAGCACTACCTAGTGAGAAGATTTTGAACAGCTTTGCCTAAGACAGTAACTTTCTATCTGGTCAGGATCTCGAGATATTTTATATGAGAATTTCACGTTTATACTAGCGCCTTGTAGTGAGAAAATTCTGAACTACTGTCCACCAGCCAAAACTACTTGACACCCTGAACAAGTTTGCCGAAGTAACTTCTATCGGCTCAGGATCTCGAGCTATTGTGTATGCAAAAATTACATGTATATACTAGCGCCACGTAGTGAGAATTTCCTGAACTACTCCACCAACGAAAAGATCTGGACTTCCTGAAAAACTTTGCCGAAGACAGTAACTTTTTATATGATAAGGATCTAGAATTATTTTATATATGCGATAATTTCACATGTATTCTAGCGCTACGTAGTGAAAAATTCTGAACTACTCTCCACCAGCGAAATGATTATGATCTCTAGAACAACGTGCCTAAGAGAGTCATTTTTTATCAGGTCAGGATCTCGAGATTTTCCATATTGTAACCAATTCAAATCCCACATAGTACAAACACCGTTAACGCGGTTTCCATTCACATTTTCTCTATTATCCGCATTTTTGTGGGTTAACTGTGATAAAATTTTAGCTTGTTTAGTTAAAAACAAGTTTTTTAATGAACCAGCCGTTGGTTTCATATCGATTGGTAGCTCGGCTGCAAAATGGCAATGGAAAACTCACACTGTTGTACAAAGTACAAAGCCCGAGTACTCGTGTTATAAATGTTGGCGCGGGAAACGCAGGGTTAAAGGGGGGTTTCGTGAGAATTGGTCTTTTGGTGGCTTCATACCTGAAAATTGATATCAATTTTCTTATATTATTTTGTAGTTTAATTCATTTATTCATCATTTCAGTAAAAACAGTAGTTCATCAGTGAAGTGATTCAGTAAAAACAAAGAGAATTGCAAATTTGATCATAAATCAATCCTTATTGACTATTTTATCAAGAATATTTCCCCTGATTTCACGAAGTAAAAACTGCCGTTCCAACGGCAATTGGTTTTCCTCAGCCCATGTGTGATGATAGTGTCAATACTGTTCAGCGCTGATTGATCTGGAAATGGATCGTACTCCTCATATTGGTTGTCATCTGCTGTAGAAATGTTTGCAGTTTCATCCAGAGTGGTGTTCGTCACGCTTTCTCCTTCATAAAAATGTGAATCATGGTTAAGAACAGCATTGACTATGTCAGCATCAGACATGACATCGAATTCCGCATTCTCGTCTTCATTTTCGCCTGCAGCCGGTTTATCAGCAACCATCAGTTGAATTGCTACAATATCATCCCTAGAGCACCGGAACTAATATTTGCAATGTTAGCATTTCAAAAATATTAATGGAAAATTGTCGAAATTGATCGAGTGCGTCAAGTTAGGAACCGCGTCAAATATGGTGCCTTCACGGTAGCCGTGATTTTTAGCCAAGCTCAATTTTGTCTCTACACACTCGTGAGAGTCGCGAGACTACGATTTTTCTCAAGTTGAGGGGTCCCATGGCGTGGATTGCTACACGTTCGCTTCTCAAGCGGATGGTCCATGGGTTCAATTCCATTGATCTTCTTATCGAATTTTGATGTATTTGAATGTGCCTCATGATAGGTTATTATCCAAGTCCGATTCTGGTCACTTTCCCGGGGCACCTGGAACTTGTCCGGAAGTGGCCAATATGGTCCAAGGTATTAATTTTTTTCCATATCTGGTTATCGAATTTTGATGTAATCTGATTTTTTTTATATCTGGTTATCGAATTTTGATAGAATCTGATGTGTCGCATGATATGTTATTATTCAAGTCTGGTTCTGGCCACTTTTCCGGAGGCACCTGGAACTTGCCCGGAAGTGGCCAATATGGTCCAAGGTACTTAATTTTTGTCACCTTTGATCTTGATATCAAATTTTGATTTAATTTGATGTGTCGCTTAATGGGTTTTGTTCCTTTCAAGTCAAATTTAGCCTCATGGCCCATAAATGCCGGAACTTGTTCCGGCCATATCTACAAAACCAGTGGTCCGATTCCATATTCCTTCAATAGCGTTCAATAGGACCACTAAAAACATTAAATGAGACCACATAAGACCAAAAAAAAAATTTTTTTTTTGATGGCTCGATTATCCGGAGAGCCCGATTATCCGGAGTGAAATTTTTTTCAAGACTCCGGATAATCGAGTCCGCCCTGTACCTTTGTTGTAATACTTCCTGCATTTCCATGGTCATCTGGGAGGAGGGTCACATCTATTGCTTTCCCCAGGAACCGCCCGTTCAGTCTTGGGCGTATTCAGCGAACCATCCTTATTTTTCTTCTTCTTCTTCTTCTTCTTATTCTTCTTCTTCTTCTTCTTCTTCTTCTTCTTCTTCTTCTTATTCTTATTTCCTTTATTTAACGTCGGTCTCTGTTCCGCAATCTATAGTGCCAATCACCGACGGACATCGATTGCCATCCATCGAGTGTGCAGGAAGGCAGCTTCCACACCTGCGTAGGATATCGCACCCATTCAACACACATGGGCCGGGACCAACGGCTTTACTTCCCTTCCGAAGGAAGACGTGATCAGAGATTTTTATGCCTCAGAAAAATCCCACCGACCTCGGCTGGGATTGAACCCAGACCCATCGGGGTGTTAGAAAGCAGTCACGCTTACCACTACCACCGGCGCTGGCATCCTTCAGCTTACTCACAATCTCCGACACTTAATGCAAATCGCAGGCACACTTACGCTAGTTACAAATAAAAACACACCAGTGCAAAGAAACGGATCCAATAAACGTCACTCTCGCGAAAACACACCCGTCGTCGTCGAACGGCAAAAAAAAGGAATCGGTAGGCAATTTTGTGATACGGATTTACACAATCAACCGGGAATGCACGAATTTCACCACACCCAACTGTGCACTGGTGATCACGGAAGTTCATAGGAAAAAAGGAAAGTTCATAGACAGAACATCAGGGAAGTACGCGTAACTTCAGAGTATTGGCAACACTTCAAAGAAAGTTTGTATATCATCAGATAAATTTGCAGAACGTCAGGAAAATTCGTAGATCATCAAAAATTTTGCTAAATTTCAGAGAGCTTCACAGAACTTCAGCAATGTTGATAGATCATCAGAGAAATTTGCAAAACATCAGAGAAGCTCACAGAACTTCAGGAAAGGTCGTAGATCATTAAAGAAATTCAAGTTGAAGATTGAAGAAATATCTTCCGAGGAATTTGCGAAAGTTCAAGGAAGTTCATAGAATATCAAGGAATTTCGTAGAACTTCAGGGAAATTTGAAGAACTTCATATCTGTTGCGTGTTGAGTTTTTGAAAATTTCGTGAACAATGATCAAACTGAAATATTGGCTATTTAGGATAATTTCTGAGCAGGCTGGATTTTTTTCGAAGATACAGAAAGAGAAAGATACAAATAGCTCCCTTGCTTCAAATTCTTCATCTATACCTGCTGCTTACAAAGTTCAGCAAGTAAATGAAGCTACCTATGATACAGCTGGTAGAAATCGAAATCAAAATTCTAGCCAACATAATTATAACGGAAATTTTGATGATTTTGACTTAGGTAGCATTACTGCCCCTAAAATGGTTTTTTTTTTGCAAACATCGTCAATCGATATGATGGAAACAAATCCCATGTTTGATGTTATTCAAACCGAAGCTAAATTTTCGTACAATATCGTAATGACTTTGAAATTCAGTAATGGATTTCAAATCAGTAAATATTTTGAATTGGAATGCGGGATCTCTTGAAAATAATGAAGACGCGCTATTTAACTTGTTGAAAGGGAGTTTGGGAGTTTCAGTTTGGGTCTTACTAGTAAGGAAAATATGTTTGATGATTAAGATCTTTAACTAAACATATTCAAAATATGAAAGCCCCAGGTGATGATGGAATTTTCTATATCCTCATCAAACTGGTCTAAACCGTGCTTAATAAAGGTGCGGAAAACTCACATCGCCTTCTCATAGGGGCCACGGAAGAGGTGAGATTTGTTTGTATGTTGATAAATAAGTGGATACGTTTGCTATACGTTATTAAAGTTACATTATTTGCAATGTAGTTGGCTGCGATTGTTCCCATGTTCTTCTGCTCGCTCCCAACAATGTAAGTATACAATTTTCCGAACCATCATTTATTATCACAACAATAACAAAAGATCAGGTCATCGCAATTTAAACGGCGTTGTTCAAGATCCAGAAACGGTGCGAATAAACACGAGCATATACATCAGGATATCCCTGACCGCAGGGAATACCCCATGACACGACTCCCTGCAGGTAGCCTTCATAGTTCAATGGACTGCCGGAATCTCCAAAGCACGCACCCTGACCGCTTGGGTTCAGCGTGCAGATGGTGTTGTCAAATACAGATGCAGCGTAGGAAGGATTGAAACGTTTACGGCAGTCAGTCAGAGTGATGATTGTGGTGCTCAGCCATTGCAGATTGTTTGAGTTTTTGCCATTGCGCAATTGACCCCAGCCGGAAACCCGAGCACCACTGCCAGTGGTAATGTAGGTATATTCCAGAACAATTGGTTGAACAAGGTTATTGTATGCGATAACCGAAGCGGTCCGCACCAGCGAAATATCGTTGGCGAGAGTGTTGGGGTTGTACGATCCGTGGTTGATGATGTTAGTCGTATAGTGAATAGTGCCACCGCTGTTCAACAGGTGAGTTCCGACGACTACACGAGTGTCGGCAAAAGTGCGTCCAAAGGTGCAGTGAGCAGCTGACAGAACATAACGGTTGTTGACGATCGAACCACCGCAGAAGTGAGCGTTGTTAGATGAACGAAGTGAAACCTGGTACGGGAACTGACCGGAGGCGGCATTCTGACCACCGACGATACGACCTTCCCATTCAAGGAATTCCGCTGGGAGAGCTACAAATAAACCAAAATCATGGATTAAATATGTCGGTCTCGAATTCAACAGTTCCATTAAAAACTCACTGGTGCCGAAGACGGCGACCGCTCCAACGAGCACAAACAACAAACTCAGACGGTTCATGTTTCTTCTACTCTTTCAATTCGACTCAGAATGGGGAAGATCTGCCAAGGTGAGTGCTTTTATACGGCGTAGCCTTATCTACAGCAGCTTTGATAACAAAAACGAGAATTCGTTGACCAGTCGATATGATTTATGAAATTTTAAATCTACACATAATCCATGTATTGGGTGCCCCTTCACATGCTTAAAATATCAGTTTAATTTAACAGCAAACAGCGATGCCCGATCAGGAAAAAATAACTTATTAATACCAAATTCTGGTATGAAAATAGCATAACTGACAACCTAAATATGGTATTAGTGAGGCTGAAATAAGAGGTAAAATACCAAAAATTATAGCTCAAAAATGTTCTATGAATAACGAACTGGTGCATAATTTTGTTATTACAATAACAGACAGGTAACAGACGCTTTTTTAGATGCAAGAATACCATAGTTTGTTATTTTGAAGGTCTTCTAATACCAATTCAATAACTCTTTTAGGTGTTATTGTCTAAAAACTGAGCGACCACAATTTGTTATTTTGGTAAATATTCATTTGATATTTTACAAAATATTTCGATAACTGAATAATATAATTACAAGGTTTTATACCACAAGTATACAGAAATCTGGTATCATACCACATTAAGATTTTCATTTGTTATCGATTAGCTATCGGTTGCTGCTCGGGTGGAGTTGTAAAACATCTCAGCTCCCGTATTCGATAAGATAGTTAAAAATGATTATCGATTGATCAATTGTCCTATCAATTCATTGTCGCTTCTGTGGTTGTCGCTGATAAAAGTCAAGCTAATCGGATCTACACACTCAAAGCATGCCGTCAATTCGGCATTTTGGATGGGAAACCGCATAGAACTAAACATTGCCTGGGAATACCAGCCCCTTATCTGTAGTTTTTCAGTCAGTGTAAGTATGCGGTCGTTTATCTTATTGTTAACTACGATACGTTTCAAGTCATTGTTAATCAAATGAAAAATTACAGTTTTTGGTGAAAAAGACAATTTTTTTAAAATGCACCAATTCGGCACTCGTGTAGACGGTACATGTTCCCCATGTAAAAAGACCTGAGTGTATGACCAAGTAGGTCCGCACCCTAGTTGTCTTAAAATGAAGGGGAATTTTAGTTTATTCAAATGATGATGATTTTGCTTTTTCCATTTTTTTACGACCTGAAGTTAACCGTAATATTTACCAGAGCTCCCTCAATATGATTATTATTTATGGCTCAAATGCCTAAGAAAACTCCAATGAGCCGAGGAACAGCGAATAGTCTCATAGAAGAAAAAAATATATATGAGAAACATAAATTATTAGATCTTTATTTGTTTCCTAGCGTAGCAGTTCCAGGCTAAACAGCAAGAAAATAATTAAATGTGGACTCAACCTTCTCCGATTTGCATGAAACTTTTCAAAATGGTTATTTTTTTATAAGCAGTCATTTACATTAAAAAAAAATCAGCTAATTGTATGCGTTTTTTTTTTCTTCAAAATGGCGCCTTTGACATTTTTCACGAAAATGTCAATTCTGATCAAAATGGCGTCTAACAAAAAGGTTGAGAAGAGTAAAGTATTGTTGGGAAAAATATACAGGGTAATTTTATATAAGTAATTTTCAAAAGAAGTTCAAAAAATTGGTAAAATATTTTGAAAGCATATCTCTATTATTTTTGTATATCTGGTATATCTAGTAAAACATCAAATTCTGGTCGTATGCATAAAATAATTGTAAGCTAGCCTTTTACGTAGTTTAGTATTCACTCTAACGTTAGATTTCAAATATAGGGGAAATGCAGGTAATGTCGGCCTAAGTGTCCCTAATTTGGGCCCATACATAAATTCAGCAATCGACTAAATTTTCAATAGCTACCAAAAATACCCATTTGTAACGTCCCAATAACGCGTTCATCTAGATAACATTGATAAATAGTAGATTTTTAGCGATGGGCCCAATCTTAGATCCATAGGCCAACATTAGAGACATTTCCTCTGCTAAATTTCTTTCTCAACATGAATAATTAATTCTTCGCTTTGATATTATCATCATCATTACTGTGGATCTCCTAATAAATATCCTAATGAAAGAAGCAACTATGATTCGTTTGATCTAAAAACTAAAGGGCATCGAAACATGTTTTTCTCCTCGTTATTACAGACCAAGAGTGCGTATTGAGATGGAGGTTGATAGAGAAATCAACGATGTAGAGGACCAGTTGCAAAATAATTAGCTGGAGGAAATAGAGTCATGTTCCTCGTTAATCCTCGATTCACCCAGGCGTGATGATGTCGACGATGTTTACGATGATGACGACGATTATGAGGACGGTATTAACGTTACTCTGTTGTCGGTATCTCCTGCTGCTAAGTCCCACGAGGAAATGTATGGAAGTGAGAAGATGCGAAAGGAGTTCAAAGCTCCTACGGCAGTTGCTACTGCTATTGATGCTAATGCTGCTTCTGCTGCTAATGCTGTTACTGCTGACAATTCTGCTCAGCTCAATTCCAAGGGCCCTGGAACACCCACGGAGGATGTGGCCCTATCCCATAACAAGGTTAAACGCCTCAATGGAGCCGGAAAAAAGAGGTTTAAATACCTGATATCTCATGGTCTGTTACCGTTTGTAACATTTTTTGATGTATTTCTGTATGTTTATCGTATTCTGCATGTCCATTTGAATTTAAATAATAATTGCCAATTTGATACCCCTAGTTTTAGTACACTATACAGTACCACAGTTTACTACCAACTGCTGGAATAGGTGATGAGCCAAAAATGTGAGTTCAGTGGAACATAAGAGAATGGGTACGAGAAGTACAGAGAAAGGGAACGGCGAGTAGCACGGAAACTTCTTCCGCCACTTGCCAAGTAACCTTAAACGAGAGCAGTTGAACAATAAAAAAAAAACCGTTAAAATTATAGAGAATAAAAGTAAGAGTGTCATAGTAGCAGGAGTGGAGCGAGAGAGTCAGGACCCGTTAAGTTTTTCTATTAAGAACGCTCGATCGAGGGGTTCGGCCAGATCACGCCGACAGGCCTTCCGTGAGCGATTGACCGCTGGAGAGCCAGTTCCGTTCGACGGCCCGGAGGATAGGACCACTTTGGACCTTTCCGTTCCGAACGAGTTCCAACCGAATTCATACCCCGATCGTTCCCGCAGAGCCACAGAATCATGAGAGGGACCCACCAGTACCCCGTGTAAGGTGCCGGGACATAACCTCCCACCGAAGAAGACACCTCTCCACAGTCCACCATTGTGACTTGGCATACCTACTGGCGCCACCAAACGCCCTTATGCAACCACCGTCACCATCACCAACACCGTAGTCTCCGGTGTAACCACGGCCAGCGTCACCGCCATAATCGCCGCCACTACGGACGTTAACAACGCCGAATCCACCACCAGCCTGTACAGCATCACCACCGCCGTATCAACCACCACCACGTGCAGCATCACCGCACAAAAGACCCAGCAGTCGCCGGCCGGCCAGGTATCTGAAGAAAACCTACACTATACACGCCACACACACACACACCCATAGAATGTAATTGGTAGGGAAATAAACCTCTAAAGTGTAATTCATTAGCTTTTTCCCTTCAATCACACTATATCCGAGTTCTGATTAGCCCGGTAAATCACTCGAGCCGACCTTGAGGCTAAGAATTGCCCTCCAGATCGAGCTAGCCATCAAAAGAGGTCGTTGAATGACCCACCCTCATTGGTAGGCCGTTGCTTAGCCAAGCCCGCCGAGGTGTTTGTCCTGGTAGCCCCCTAGGTACCCCACCCTAGCAGCAACAGGTCATAGCCATGATGAGGCTCGGGTACTGGCTGAGAAGCCTTTTAAAGTAGCATATTCTGATCCGAACAAGCGTCGAAGAAATGCGGAGTTGAGCGAGTCTAACTCGAGCGAAACCAATCCACCGAAAAGGGTTGCTCTCCATTCTGATACAGGAAATGCATCTCAAGCGAAGTCCTCGGTACAGTCAAGGCTGGACACAGCTAGAAGAGGAGATGTTAGACAATCGTCTACTTCTAAGCAGGCCATCAATGCCTTCAAAAAAGCATCTTATAGCGAGGTTTTAAACTCTATCAGGATTGAAATCTTGTCCGAGGCAATACTAAGAAAAGTAGCAGAGCAAAGGAAGGAAAGAACCAAACCAAAGTTCGACATTTGCTTTTTCAGACCAGGGCATGTGATCGTCATTTGTAAAAACCAGGATACGGTTGACTGGTTAAAGGCTACAACTCCCAGCATTAAGCCATGGAAAGAAGCATGCCTCATTGCAATTGAAGAAAAAGACATACCTAGGCCGGAAATTTTACTGGGTTTCTTTCCACGAAGTGTAGAGGACACAAATGACGATATCCTTGCCTTCGTGGAAAGCCAAAATGAAGGATTAATGGTTGACGCTTGGAAGATCCTTAAAAGATATACAGTTAAACAGTATCACGTTGAACTTGTCTGGACTGTTGATGGAGACTTTAGAAAAATGCGATTTCACTGTGGATTATAAATTCGGAGTTGCCTATCTAAGAAAAAAATCCTCCAGGAAATCAGGAACTAACGAGGAATCAGAACATCTTGGTAACAAAAAAAGGAAAAAGGCTATTCAGAACAGTCCAATACAAGTTCGAGAATTCACGAAATTTCCGAGGACGCTGAGATGCGTGAATCAAATCAACGAGGCACAGAAGCTAGCGGCATCACTAACAGTGAACCTAGTGAACGCTGCAATGCTACTGCAAATGTTGAGGTATGTTATCACAATGCTGGTGAGTGTCCTCAAGTTAGTAGTGAAACAAAGAATATTGGAAATTCTGTTTTGCCCACCTTATGCTCCGAATCAAATTCGAGTTTGAATAAAGATGTTTGTCTTGGACATCGACCAAAACTAGAATAAAGGCAGCTATATATGCCCTTCAAGAAATATCAAGCTCACCCAAATGACTAGAACAAGCATTAAGTTTAAACAAGAAAACCTTCATCACGCAAAGGCAGCTTCAGCTATTCTCAGCAAAACATTTATCGAAGGCAAACTGGATGAAAC